TAATTATTCTTAACTTGAAGTAGTTATTTCTATTATAATAACTTTTCAATTAAGTGTTATTAAAGATTTTGTATAATAGTTAATTATGTTAGTTTCATAATTTATAAGCTCTATTATCAAGAGTTTCATAAATATAAAATTATTCTGTATTCTATTGTAACTGAAATTTATTTTTGTAAATAACATATTATTTCATATTATATATTAAAACTCTATCATTAATTTTTGAATTATGTAATTCTTTATAATTTTAAGTTATATCTTTTTTTATTTATTATTACTATTTTTTAATTTGATTTTGTACTATATTAATATCATTTGACAAATGATAAATTAAAGAGAATATTTGATTTAATATTTTATTTTCTTTATTTTTTATTATTTTTTATTGATAATAGATATTTTAAATTAATAAATAATTAAATATATCTTTTATAGGTCAAGAAGAATAATTTATATTTAGTAGTATTATTTTAAAGCATTCTATATACAAATAATACTAATGGTATGTATATATCTCATTATTTATCTAATACAATATAATATTTTTAAAATATTTCACATAAGATTCTATTAAATTATTCTACTATTTTATTAGTTTGTAAATGATATAATAATAAAAACTTGTATTTAATTTTAAATCAAGTGATAAGTTTTTCAATTACTTAAGCTGTAAATTCAGTTTCTAAATCAGACTATAATTCTTTTGAATATTTATATTTATAAATTATTTCTTTAAAAATAAATTTAATGATTATACTAGCTTTTTATTTGGAATTACTTTTGTTTCAGATTATTTAGTAAGTAAATTTATTATTACAGTGATATATTGATTTTTTTTCTTGATTACTTTGCAAGATTTAACAAAATTAATCATAATTCTATCAAAAGACTATCCAACTTTAATAAGATGTAGAGATTATTTTATAGTTCATTCATCAGTTCTTTGACAAGTTTCACAAGATCTAATAAAGTTCTTATATCTATTCTTATTTCATTCTATCAATATCTAATAACTATTTATTGATAAGTTTCATCAAATCTAAAGTATTTAGCAAGTAAATCTGAATGTATGCTAATTATTATTACTTCAATTTTATTTTTTTTATTACTTAAAATAATGTAATAGATTCTTTTTTTCTATTCTTTTTATAAAGTATTTTATTAATTATTAAAAAGTATTTTAGTTATTGATAAATTTTCTTTTGTTATTCTTCAGTATATCCTATAGGATAACTTTTATTTTCTGGATATCTCATTAAATAATAATATATAATTAAATCTATTATATTGAGTTAAATTTGAATAATCTGTTTAATTAGTTATTCAAAAAAAGTTATTCTAATTATTTTATTGATTAAGTAAGTTTTGATATTTTACTCTTGTGAATATATTCTTGAAAGAGTATTCATATTTTGATCAATTTTTCTAGCTTTATAAGTAATAATAAAGTTATAATTCTATCATGATCATTATCTATTTTGAGATTTAAAATTCAGAATTAACTTGTTTAGTAAATCATTATCAAAATATATTATGATTAATAATAATTTTAAAGAAAGATTCAAAAAGATAATATCAAAATTATCTGACAGTTCAGACTAGTGATGGAAGCTATAACTAGCTGCAACTCTATCATAATTCTCTGATTAACTACTGTAACTTTATCATAATTCTCTGATTAGCTATCACAAGTTGTAACTAGTTAAGGAGTTATTTTTAGTTCAGACTACAGCCAGAGCTTCTTTTTTAATAATACTATAATTCTTTTTTGCTAACTTGAGTAAAATACTTGCATAGATTACTACTTATTCTCTTTCTTCATCATCTTTTTAAGATAATACTACATCAAGTTTAGAGTCAAAGATATTAATATAGAAATAGAACTTCTTTGTAAAGTCAGAATAGATTAAGATCAGGATAAAGATAAGTTTTTCTTTCAAAATCTGCAATGCATTCTCTTAATTTATAATTCAAATAAAAATAATATCATTTTTTAAAAGTTTAAATAAAGATACTATTATCTATAAGAATTCTTTAACAAATTTTCTGTAATATCTAGCTAATTCTAAGAATAATCTAAGTTTTTTGATATTTATTGATATAAAAAACTCTTGAATTTATTGAATAATTAAAGAATTAGATAATATTTTATCTTGAGTTATGATATATTCTAGAAAGAGTAAGTTATCTTGAATAAAGTTATATTTTTCTAAGTTAAGTTTTAATTTAGCTTTTTTAATTCATTAAAAAACTTTTTGTAAATATAATAAATATTTTTCTCAAGTTTTTGAATATATATTTATATCATCAATATAAATCATAATGAATTTTTAATTATAATCTTCAAGTATACTATCTATTATTTATTAAAAAATTACAGAGATATTATAAAGTTCAAAAGATATAACTTTGAATTTATATAATTCTTTTCTTAAAATAAATACTATCTTTTTTATACTGAATAATTCTATTTCAATTTGCCAATAATCAGAGATAATATTCATAAATGAAAATTATTTTGTATCTTCAAGATTATTTATTATCTCATCAATTCATAATAAAAGATAAATATTTTTCTTGGTAAGAGTATTAAGTTTTTTATAGTCAATATAAAATTATTTCTTATTATTTTTCTTTACTATTACTACAATAAGTAAAATCCAGAAATTATTAGATTTTTGAATGATATCTATATCTAGTATTTATTAAATTTCATCATGAATAAATTCTTAATCAGAGATAGTTATTCTGTAAGTCTTTTGATAGATAGACTTTTCATTTTTAGTATCAATTAAGTATTAAATAATATTGATTCATTCAAGTTTATTTAGATCTGATGCAAAAATATTTTTGTAAACTTATAACAGATTATGTAAAATATCTTGTTATTTAATAATTAATTCTCTTTGTTTAACTACTTTTTTGATTTCTTCTTTATCTAGAAAGTATATTTTTATTTCATCTTTTCCAGTTGATCCAAATTCTTGAGTTTCACAAAATGATTTTTCTAACTCTTTTCTAGTATCTATAAGATTCATTTCTTTAATTAAAGCAAGCTATAAAAAGATTGCTTGAATAATTCATTTATTAGGTTAGATCTCATAAGATTTATTTAAATTATTATGTAAAAGAACTTTAATATTTCTAATATATTCAGTATTAATAGTTTCTTCTTTAATTTTTATTTCTTTCTTGACTAATAATAATTGAGATATTAATTAATAAATAGTTCTTATAGGAATTTTAATTGTCAAATAAAGATTAATCATAATTATTTATCAAGATTAAACAAGAATTACTTCTTTTCCAAGATATCTAAGATTAAAGTCTGTATTATATTTATAAGTTTATTCATCATTATAAATTTTAATCATCAAATTTGCTGACTGTTCTTTGAGTTTTTCTTTTTCTTCTATTCTATCTTCATTTTTTTCAGATACTATATAATATTTATTTAAGATTTCTTCAATAGAATTATAGTTGCTATTTTTAGCTTTTTCTTTTTTTTCTAATTTTGAATATTTTTCTTCCAGTAGTTTTTTAACATATTTAGATCATATATAATTATCACAAATATCAGAATCAAATATTCATTATAGAATTTCATATTAATATATTTTAATTAAGCAAGTTATTTTCTTTAAGAGGAAAATAATTATTGATAGATAATCAAAAAGATTTCTTGAATTGATATTTTTTTAGAGCTATTATAAGTAATATATTGCATTTCTTCTTCTTTATCATAATTAGTGATATATTGGGCAAGTATTACTTTTCTAATTTTATTATATTATTGATAGATATTTAATAGATTATTATTACTTCTTAATTTTCTAATAGTTCTATTATTTTTTTATTAATCACCATGATTAAATACGTATATACATTACTTAGTATAATTACACAAATATTTTACTTTATTATATCTTCAAGTTACTTTAAGAAAGTATCTTGCTTTATCTCAAAATTTATAATAATTATAAGTAGGTAATTTAAGTTATTATTAAATAAAGCAATCAGAATAGTATTACTTGTCAGTTTTATCTTCATTTCAAACTTCAGAAATAATTTAACTATTTACAAAGTATTTATAATATGAATATTTAACTATTCTGCTTTCTATCTTCAATTTTTTTAAAGCTTTATTCTTGATAAAAAATCTTTCTCTGTGATTAATATCTTTTTTGACTCTTGAATATGTTCTACTTTCATTCATTAATCTTTAATTTCACTTTGAAATAAAATTATTAAAAGATTATTTGATATATTTATCTTAATATTAATTCAGATGAGTAAGTCATCATAATATTAAGAATATTTATGATTAAAAATTGATAATATCAACATTCTGCAGCAGATTCTTTCCAATCAAAAGTTCATTAATAATGAGTTTGTTAAAATTTTTCTTTCATTTTGAATATTTCTCTCAAATAAGAGTAATATCTTTAACTTATACTTCTTCTTCAAAGATCTTGATATTTTTGACTTTAGAAATCAAGTTTACTATTAGGTAAGCAATCTTTTCAAAATCTACATCATTAAATCATCTGACAAATATATGAATCTGAGTTCAAGATTTATCAAATATCCAACAAAAAAAATTATAATCTTCTAAGCTTGATCTTTAATCTCAAACTCATCATCAAAGATTTCACTTGAGGATGTTTCTGAATCATCATCACTATCTTCTGATTGAGCATTTCATTATCCATGAATAAATTTGATTAATACTCTTCTTTTCCATTCCAGTCAAAGATCATGATATTTTTCTTGAGATTAATTTTAGCATTAATGTTGTTTAACCAATCCATTTCTATAACAAGACTGTAGGTTCAAGCTTATGTAACATCTACTTCTACTGGAATTACAATTCTATCAATAGTGATTGGAAAGTTATCAATTGCTCCAAGTGGTTGTTTCCCACTGATTCACAAAAACAATAGTAAAAAAAAGTGGTAAAGCAGTAGCAAAGCAATAAGAAATCAAAAGTTTAATACTTCGCGTAATGGTTCTTGTTGCAAACCCTTAATAACTGAGTCGAAATCAAATTCAAAACTTTCATTGTCTTCGACCTCATCTTCATAGTCATCTCCTGTTTCGATCTTACCCGTTGTTTCAATTTTGTCTTTATTATCTTTATTATCATCTATTGTTTCGGTCTTATCTCCATCGTCACCCGTGATTTTGATTTTTGTCCGTTTTTCCTAAGATGATTAAAATTGTTGTTCACTAGGAACATATCATAAGACAATTGGTTCTAACTAAAATGCACATCTGTACCTCTTTTTGATGCTCTTGATTTCTTTTTTTTGAAATAAATTTTGTACTAAAGGTTCCTTCGTTAACCCCAACAGACCCAACTACAGTGCTGTCTGTAATTGTCGGTTGATGGAGATGAACTGGAGGTCCACTAATATCTTTGGCCGATTTACGTTCTTTCTTGCTTCTTTACGGTCAGGCCGAGTATCCTAAGACAAAAGACTTTGAAGATTAATAATATTCTTGACCAGTACTTTCATCTGATTTTCGTCCTATTCCATCAGGTCGACTAACAGTCTTGAACAATAGACAAGCTAGCAGGTTGCCCATGCCCTAATGGTACAAACATCAAATCGACTAACAGTCTTGAACAATAGACAAGCTAACAGGTTGCCTATGCTTCAATGTTTGTTTTGTGGCTCGACTAACAGTCTTGAACGACAGACAATCTAGCAGATTTCTGCCATGCCACTTATTCCAATAAAAAAATAACAAAGGGTTCGTCACTCGCCTTCTTATATCTATCAAAAAGTTGCCGAGCTTTTTCGGACCTCTTGCCTTTCTCACGATTAATAATTGTTTAAGACTTTTGATATACAAATCTGTTTTCCGTTTGAAGGGTTCTGCGTCGCACTCGTTTAGAATCCAAAAATACACCATTCCGTATATCTTCAATTAAAATATTCGCGTACTTCGTCATTAGACATCATATTACGCGTCATATAAAACCTCATTATTATTAAGCGGTATGCCAAACTTCGAGATCGTGACCTCTGGGTCACGATTAGCATATACGGTCACATGTTCGAAGAAAATTTATGTCTTAATTTTATTATCTCAGATTGCTCGGAAAAAATGCTAAACTATATGACGATTCCTATTCAAACGTTATTTAATTTAGAAATTCTTAGAGGTGTTTTATTTCAATATAGCGTAAATTGACGCAAAAACAAATACGGAAATACATGTATATGAATTTTTTTCTATCCGTTCCTGTATTCATACATAGTACGTTAGTTTGAATCAAAATCAATTATCAAAAAAATAGCATAGCCAAAAATCATGTGGTAGACGTGAAGATTCACGAACTGATATTATTTATATTTCGGAGAAAATGTAACTGAAATTTTACCAACCCATTCTGCTTCAGACCAAGACATTATCTGTCTATATCAAAATGCATGTGTTGCAGAAAAGGACGCTATCAAAGCCAATCGAGTGAGACAATGGCTTATCTATGAGGACATCAAAATAATAGAGTTACGATTTTTTTTTCTTGCAGTAATAGCGAATTTCTGGGAACTTGGAAATTTTTATAATGAGAGAAGTTAATCAAGTGTGAAATAAAAATATTTTGAAATCTACTCTTACATTGATATCCTGTATATGTAGTTTCAAATCGTTCATTGATTGTATTTGCAATACTATTTCAGAAATCTACTCTACTACTTCTAGGAATATCATGATATTCGGTATTTTTATTTTTTCTCTGGTCAATTAATAAACGTAATTGATCGTCGGACCACATCACAAAAATTTCGCCGTGTGTGGGTCACTAAATACACTTATGATGTGTTATTTTTCATAGAATTATATAAGAAAAAAATCTGTCGTATCTACGTCGCATCTTCATCGCACCTATATTGCATCTCAATTATGAGTCTCATGCATAACCCAGCCCTTGGCTAAAATGAGGATGCTATCGCATCTAGTATAATTAATGGGCAGAAATTGCCGTTTATATGCCATCTGGACTCTCTTCGAGGTGTTGGTCCGAGTTTCAGTCCCTTTGTATCGTTGATGATAATTGGTTCTCATGTGACAGCATCCCAGCCAATACATTCGATTCGGCATCGTCGTCAGACCAAACGTCGCTCGTGTGGAATGGTGATGGCACCTATGGAGTTGGGGAATCACTGCGAGGTCTTTTTTTTGTTCGGCACGGATCAAGTAGCTAAATTAAAGTAAAATTTCTTAAGCCGACAAACAAAGCATGAACTATAGATAGACGTGTCCAGTAATAGGCACTGGCATCCTATCAAGATAGCAATAACAGCAAAAACACTTACGGGGCTACCACTTGTAGATTTGCGCTTTAGTTGCGCATCGAGGACTACTGTCCGTATGGATGATCTCTGTCGCATTTCTGAGGGTTTCGCCTCTCTCAGCAGTGTTGCAATCAGCACACTCACGGTTAATATTAAATGGATCTGATTCCTGGATCGCTAATGTAATCTTACTCCGTGCAAGTTCCGAGACAGCAGTGGAATGGATGACTGTATCTTTATGTAATAGTGTATTGATTTGTAATTTGGGAATGATAATTAGTAGTTGAATAGTTTGCTGAACTCAAAACCACATTAGATTTGAAATACTTACTTCGGATATCCTTTTTGTTGCTTGGTTCTCCAAAGCAGCTTTTTCCTTCGCCATATGGAGTTCCCAGAACTGCCTTATCTGTTTCGAATTTCTGGTTTTCTTGTATGGATTGCAAAAAGATGGAAACGTGAGAACTTATCGGGCTTCGCCTAAAAGGCAAGTATCTCATAATCACGGACAAGCCGAAGCGTTTCCATTTGTGAGCCGCAACCCACAAAGTAGGCCGTGTGGGCGCTGCCTGCACACAGACACACGATTTGGTGCGCACCAACATGCCAAAGCGTTTCCCACTGCAGCACAGCACTATCTATGGAATTGACCGTATAATAATAACACATTTGCCTTAAAAGTTCGTTTCCACTTGGTTACTTTCCGTCCAATATCGGAACTCGCGTTAGGGTAATGCAAACTGATTGTGTGCAGTTCACTACTATAGTAACTATGCCCGGTTTCTTCATCCTCCAATTCACTTGATAGGAGTCGGTACGTTAAGAATTTCAGTATGGAAGGTTTGTCTTCCTTTCCCAGAAGGCTATACAAAGACGAAAATTAACGCGTCGTAAGAATTGCTGTAAGAATTTGGCCACTCTTGGTCTTACTGCGAAATTTCAAGGAATCAAGGCATTCATCATTTAACTTCATTTTGACAAAAGATTCAGTGAGGGCTGGTCGACGGAGAGCGAAGGCGGTATAAAGACAATGAGCGCTAATGGAGCGAAGCCTTTGAACGACCAATGACGCGTGTATGATTTTTTTTAGATCGCAGAATCAAATGATCATACTGACTCCCCGTGATATTTATTTAAAAAGGACTTTTAGATCACGTGACCAAATGTTCACTGTCCAGAGGCACTAAAATTTTGTCGTAAAACACGAGTCACTTAAAATCTTTATTAATCTAATAAAATATAATAAAATAGAACCTATAAAAATTAAAAATATTATTGAAAACAACTACTATGATTATGATTTTGATT